GAGCCAGTGCTCTCTGCTCCACAGGACCCCCTGAACTGGTTCGGAATTCTTGTTCCTCAAAGTTTGCGGCAGGCCCAAGCCAGCTTTCAGGATGGTAAGTAGATCTGGGCTCGGCAGTGTGGCCGTGGACGAAATGCTGACGCTCCGTGCGCAGGGAGCACTTCAGTGCCACCCCAGAGCCTTGTGGGGCTTCTCTGTTGCAGATGCTTGGGGTTTTGTCCTTGCTGTTTATTCCAAAAGCATTCATGAGCTAGTGGTGTCGGCTGAGGCAAGCTGCCAGGGATATAGCGGGGAATAAAATGGACAGACTGCCCTCATGGAATGCTTGTTCTGTGGACTAAACATTCTGTGCTCATTTGCTTATTTTTGTTTCTCTGTGGAGAAACCTTGGGGCAGGAGGATGGAGCTGTCCTAGAGTGGGCAGGCGGCAGAGTAGAAGCCCAGTGTGACCCACCTCTCATGTGTGCCAAGTAGTGGCCCTGACACAATGTCTGAGTCGTGGTTGGGTACCTGCTTCTGCAGTAGGAAAGAGCCTGGGCTGGAGAGAGATTTGGGAATAAATCCACTACAGAGTGTTGGTTGTTGACACAAATGCAGGGTTGAAGCTGTGACTGGATGATACCGGAGAGGGACCAAGAATGGATGGAAGGTGCAGGAAAGGAGCCTGAGGAGCACGGGGTGTGCCAGGCAGCAAGAGGAGGAGGTATTTCCTGGAAAGAGTGACAGGAAGTGCTCCTGAGCAGGAGGTCTTCCAGGTGAACTGGCTGATGGGAAGCGTTAGAGGGCAGAGATGTTGGCAGAGCTGCCTAGAGATTGATTCCAGGCCGTGTCACTTCAGAAGAAAGAAAAGGAGAGAGTGGGCAGGAACAGTGAGGAACTGCAGGGACGGAGAAAGGAAGGAAATGAGCTCACAGGACACAGTATTATTCTTGGTGGGTAACAGGGTGTTAAGGAAGCCTTTTGGGGAGGTGACCCTTTAGAGCAGATGTGGGCCCAGTGATGTGCACAAGTACCCAAGGCTTGGGTATACCTGGGATGTTTTAGGGGTAGTGTGGAGGCCAGAGAGGCCTGAAGCCTTTGCAGTCCTGGGGGGTGGGTTGATGTGTCCAGAACCTCCTGGGCCACATGTCACACCACGATACCATAGTGACATTCTCTCTCTTCCCCAGGCCTTCAGCTAGCTGCAGATATAGCCAGCCTCCAGACGCGCATTGACCGGGGTCAAAGCCAGTTTCAGGGGCTACAGGAGAAACTCAAGCAGCTGGAGTCTGGTGCTGCCTGACCTGTGTCCACAGAGGCGGACGCTGAGCACTGCTGCCCTGGATGTGGCTGCCTTATCTCAGGTCTTTCTCTTCAGCCCCTCCTCCTACCTGTACTCCAGCTAATGCCCTGTCTTAAAGTGTATCGCACTGCGTGTTTCTAAGTTTGCAAGGTACGAAGTTTGAAAAGGCAAACAGAGTAATGCTGAAAGCCAAGTAATCCTGAAAGCCACTTCTAGGCCCAAGGTCTCCCAGGCCCCAGGGAACAGTGAACAGGGAGAGGGCTGCTCCTGTAGATCAACAGTGGAAGACCTCAGATCACTCAGCTGTGACATGGTTCCCAGGTAATGAAACACTGTGAACTGTGGAGGCAAAGGACAAGAGGGAACATTTCAGGGTCTCCAGATCATCAGAACCAACATGGATGCAAAGAACGACCTGACAGCCAGACAGGGTGCGTCAGTCAGTGCGAGTCCAGCCGCTGGGTGTGGTGATGCGCATCTGCACTCCGGCTACTTCAGAGCTAAGGTAGGAGAATTTTTCACTGAGAGCTCCAGTGAGGGATCAGCCTGGACAACATAATGAGACCCCCCGTATCAAAACAAGAAGAAGAGCAAGACAAAACAAAAACTAGATGAGCAGATGGGCAGTCCTCAACAAGGTCTAAACAAGAAATAAAAGCTCTGATTAGGTTTTCCAGGGAACTCTGAGAAGAGACCCTGCAGCTTTATACGCCTGCTTTTATCTTTCCTGGAGTTCGTGTTTCTGTCTTTGTGTGTTGAAGGGCCAGTTGTGCTTCCTGCTCTAGAACCAGTCCTTGCTTGACTTTCCTATTGTGTTGTTGTGTAGCAGTTTCTGGCAGGTCTCTGGTATAGGTGGTTCTGTAATCCTGTTTGTTTACCATGAAGTGTAGTTTTTCCCAGCTCGTTCTTTTGTTTGTAATGTTTAAGAATTTTCTACATCGCAAAATAAAAAAGGAAAGCCTGTGTTTTGAAATTGATTTTTAAAATAGAATTGAATTTGTCAGGTGCTGTACGTTTGGATTTGGGTTGCAGTTCATGTGATGAGAAGGGGTCATGTGGCATTTCTGTCAACGCCCGTGGTTTCGCTTGGGGTGCCCTGCGCCAGCTTTGCTGTCCTGGGTCTGGCTGCTGCTCATGGCCACACCCTCCTCCCGGTTGGGGGAGCTCCCTTGTGCAGCGCTCACAGGTGCTTCTCGGGAGCGCGGCTTCCGTTGTTCTCTGGTCTATCAGGAGGACGCGTTCAGTCCTGACCTTTTTATTTCCCTGCACGTAGGGGAGATTCTGGAGATTGGGCTCAGCAGTAGAACCTCCGCCTTGCGAGCTGGAAGCCCTGGATTTGGTCCTCGGTACTGAAAGCAAAAATAAACCTCCCCGGAAAACAATTCAACCAAAAAAATAAAATAAAATAGTAAAATCAAAAAAGATCAGTGAACAAACAAAGCGACTCAGTGCAGGTAGAGGACATGTGCTCATGCGCCTGTTTTCGGCCATGTTAAGCTTGAGTTGCCTACTGTGACTAGAGGAAAAAGGGACCCCTCTCTGTCCCCTGCCCCTCAAAGGTTGAGATTTTAAAATCTGCCAACAGTGAAATTTAAAACCAAAGATCACAGAAACAGTTGGTGCTTTGACCACAATGCAGGTGCTATGCTGGTACCAGGTGCGTTCTGTCACTTCTCTGTACCAGCTAATGGGTGGGCAGGAACTCTGATTCCATTAGAATTAGGATGCGTTGTATGCGTGTTCCACTGCCTCACCATGAATGCGATCACGCGCTGGCAGTGCACTGGCAAAAATTGAGAAAGGGTTAAAGGCTTTCAGTTGCCGCGCAGCTGGGTTATAAGCTTCTGCACCTTTGGTGTGCTCCTGCAGGGGTGAGGCTTCACTCCCCTGCTGAGGGGTTTGGGAAGGCGCCATCCACCCACTGTCTTTGCCTCAGCTCTCTGGTACCTGTCCTGGAGGAGGTGACCCCTAACCCTGCCTGGGAGAGGCCAGTAGTCACCCGGCAGCCCATAAAGTGAAGAACAGGATGGCAGGGGTGTTGCATCTGCTGCTGGGACAGCTGCCACAGAGGCCACATGAGTTTACTACTGTGCAATCCTTGTGGGAGGTGCAGGCAGCCGGATGACCCAAGTGTCCTGTGCTGACACCAGGAAGAACTGCAGGTGGTCCCATGGTCCGGAGTCCTGGTTTTCCCCAGGTGGACCATCCTGGATTGCAGATCAAACTGGGTTCAACTGTTGCCAGATTGGTTTTATTTTTCTTCCAACATGGAAGCACTGACAAGGATTTTAGCTTCTTTCCGCCAGAATGTTTGAGGTCAGATCGGAACTTTTCCCTCCAGTAGAATTTAGGGATGATGGAGGCTGACTGAACTCTGAGCCTGTTTTTATCAAAGTGACAGTTGCCATCATTGTATTATCTAGTTTGTTTCGTCTATCAACACCCTACTGCTTACGTTGGATACCATCTGCATTATGAATGTGATCCGTACTATGAATAATGAAATACTGTGTAATACTTAAAATACCTGAACTCATCCGTGTGAGTTTCCTTCGTGGAGGGCCAGGTCAAGCCTAACCTCACCCTAGAGTGAAGAGAAAATAAGGAACAAGGGGCTGGGGGATGAGAGGAGAGGGTGGGGAGGGAGCGTGGAGGGTTCGCACCTGTACAGGCGCCGCGTTCCCTGGCAGGAACTCCTGGGAGGGGGCATAAGAGTGAGGTGAGGCCTGCACAGGCAGGGAGACAGGAGCACGTGGAGGCCGAGGTCTGATAGTCGGCCGCTCTGGCCTTGCTGCTGTTTGTGTGCTCGGTTGGCCTGCAGGTCGGGGGTCTTGGCTTCTCACTCCCAGTCTGGGCTGGATGCGCTCACTCCTGTGTAGAACCAACATCAAACTTTTAAATGATCCCCTTGTGCCAGCACGTACTTCCTGTCAAAAGGAGCCTCGCCAGCCGTGTGGCAGATCCCTGTACTGCCAGCACTCTGGGAAGCAGAGGAAGGAGGATGGCAAGTTCAAGGCCGGCCCAGGGGACTTAGGCACTTTGTGAGATGCTGCCTGAAAATAGGAAACTGTGAGGAAGTGGTGGCGGTGGAGATGTCGCTCAGTGCATATTTGCCAACTTGAGTGATCTCCAGTACTGACATTAAAGACTCCAAACAACAAAAAACCTACGGGCCTAGTCAACTAGTGCCCTCCTCAGCTTTCCACCCCTTTCTGTTTGCTGGCTCTATTAACTTAGGAAGATTTGCACAGGGCCAATTTCCTGTTTCTAGGACTGTACCACTGTAGTCACTGGTTCATCTTCCTTTATGAGAAATTATTTCTGTAGTTAGTAACTTTAAGCAGACCAATTAAAATAGAATTCAAAGGCTCCCATCCCAGCGTGTAAACTGCAATGATTTCTAGTCCTCAGAAGGTGCGTGTGTCGCTGCGTGTGTCATTATAAGGACATTGTATTTGTCCTTAAGGAATGTAGTTACAGAAGAATACTGAAAGACAAGGCAGGATCCATCGCAAAACAAGCAGCGTGAAAATGTGGAAGTTCTCCCTTGTGAGCCAGGGCCGCGGGAGCCAAGGTGGCTGCCATGCCAAGTGTAAACTTTATTTATATAATTCTTGTCAGGATTTTGTCCCTTTTAGGCCTCTCCAAATTTGCTTCTGAGTCCTTTCAAATGTCAGTAAGGTAAGGAAAAGACTGACGTAAGTATTTGAAGATCAGGCGAATGTTTTCCAGAATCTCTTCAGCATTAGAGCGCACTTGAATACATCAGAGGTTATGCTGTCCTCACTGAGGAGTGTTCCACAGCTAACTTCTTAACCAATGTGGGTAGAGTATGTATGTTACATACATTCATTTTTTTAATACATTTGTTTTTTAAATTTATTATTTTTTTTGAAAAGTAAAAGCAAGAACAAAAAAATCGGAAACAAAAACAAACGGTAACATACGGTATATATGTTAGAGATTTTTAAAAGAAGATTAGATTAATAGTGGTTGATACCTATTTTTAGCATTAAATCTGTTGCTCAGATTAATAGGTGTAGCTATTTAAGACTATTTAAACTCTGGGCAATAAGCCATGACAACTAGCAATGTGAAATGCCTAGATTTTTAAAAAAATTTTATTTTTAAAGAAAATGCAAAAAATTGTATAAAAAATTAGAAATGATACAGAATTTCACTAAACAAAATGAATTTTGTTTGGATTGATAGGAAATCAACAGTGGTGAAATCAGTTGTTCAGACTACCAGTTATAAACCTAGAAGATAAATATTTATAAAAAATTAAAAAGTGAGAAAAAATTTAAGCATTAACTGCTCCTTTCAGTAGACTAGCAGAAATCAGCAGTACAGTTAGCCAAGCTGTCCTGTGTGTATACAAGTGTATTTCTTTCTCTTTTTAAAAATGTTATATATTTGGGGCCCCAAGTGGGCTGCCAATGGGGTGGTCCTGAGGTGGCTTTGGAAACAGCACCCCAAGTCAAGGGAGAACCCTGGGAATGGCTGATAAGTGATCCCCAGCCTTGCCATGGCTACCTGTAGGCCCCTTCTTGGGAGCATGGAAGGACCGGGGGGAGTGGGAATTGGTCCATTTGGAGGCCAGGGATGTCTTGCAAACCTCAGAAGTAGTAGACAAATTCTTTTCCCCTTGCTGTGAAACGGCAGGGTGGGTGGTTTGGCTGTTCTTCACTCTTCCACTGCATAAATCTAGAGGCAGGTGGCCTTGTCTGGCACGTCGGCCAGCTGCAACAGCAGAGGGGGACGCGGAGCAACGACCTGCCGCTGCAAAGCTCACACTGCGAGGCATGGGAAGTGCTACCTCTTTTAGAAGTGTCTTCAAAAGCATAAGCCCTCACTTTTTGAGAAAGCGCCTGGGGAAATCCTCTGGCTTTGTGTACTAGGCCAGCTGTTCATTAAAAAGTGATGCTAGAGGAACCCCTACCCCAGGGAGGAGGACTGGGAGGACCACCTACGTCTACCTGACACCCAACACACACGGCTCACGCAGCCAGGGAGCTGCAGCAGCGGGCGAAACAGTTGAAGCACAAGGTGGGTGAATCAGTACCCATGT